TGTAAAGTGCCATACAACCCAGGGCCGTAGTCATGAGGCAGGAGGCTGGCACTCAGGCTCCTCCAACAGCCAGGGGCAAAGGGCAACTTGTCACCTAAAAATCTAGTGACAAACGGCATTTCGTCACTGTTGGGGATACAATCAGCCTGGGCCCTTTGTGGATGATGGACATTTGCCAACTCATACAGAGCTCTGGAAATTGGAAATGAATAGCAGAGACGTGTTCAATAACCAATTCAAATTGTATTCATACGTCAGTTATATTTATAACCCATTTTCATAGCAGGATGGGAGGGGGAAAAATTACCATATGGGCGTGACAATGACATTGTTTTTCACAAGTTATAAACAGCTGTTTTTAGTTATAATTCGATGTTACATAATGTATGCATATTGGATAAAACCCAGATGATTACAAATACAGAAATCTTGGACAATTAACAAGGTCATTCCAGAATCCTTATCATGTCATGTCATGTCGTGCCATGCCATGTCATGTCATGTCATGTCATGCAAATATCTTTATTCCAGGAACATAACAAAATCATGTTTCAATAACATTTCTGAGAATTGGAGATACAATTCCAAATTTATTCTTGATTCAAATTAACCCTTACATGAACAGTTAGGATATAGAGCAAAATGGATATTCGCATCTACAATTCCCCTCTTAGATCATATCATGATCTACCTTATGGAATATCCATGGGAGGCCTGCGGCAGAGAAACGAAAGGAGGTATATTCAGACGTGCTAATCACGTCTGCGGGACTTTCCTTATTTCTTCACCTCGGTTTCCCCTATTTGCTCTATGCCGTAGGTTTTCCCTTTAAGAGGAGATCGAGCTGTCGATTTTCAGCTTCTGTAATCATCTGTTGTACACATCTTTTAAATGTACAAGTTAAATATTTCAAACAGCTGACATCTTAACTGCACATCATGTTATCTGCAACTTGAGCCTTGGATCAAAACAGGCAAAGTGTATTATTCCCAACAACGGGAATATTATTATTATAATTCACAATGTAAACACATATAATCAAAAATGGGAATAAAATCTATTTCCCCTCTTTGGACCAGGGTCTTGGATTACCAGTCCACCCAGTGAACTTGGGCCAGGTCAAAAATCCCAGTGGCAAAAACTCATAATTGTGAAAAAAAGCACATCTGGGTAAATTCTAAGTGAGGGCCATGACTGTGTAGACATGTCATCCCCTCACATTGACAGCATTAGTGACTTATAAAACCTGCACTTTGTAAGTAAATAGCTCAGGTATCGGGATTGGGAAACACTTCTTGATGAGTTTGAAAAGGCCCACTTACATATTAAATCATAAGATAATTTCTAATCAGTTTGCAATTCTAGCAATAATCCCAATCATGACCTTGCGTCCTATGCCTCCTAATCAAATCCCTATTTTGATGGTCCAGTCATATCCACACTTAATACATTGGAATCCATCCTTGGTACACTTAACATACATCAATGACACACATAGTACATCCATGCCTGAGTAAGCTAACACTTCCTCTCTCTCCGGCTAACTCTACAAAAATAAAAATAACAAAATAGTTCAATAGTCCAGCATAGTCCAGAAAAATATTATAAGTCTTTCAAGGAGTATAAAAAATCTTAGACACCATAAACTTTGTTCCATAATCTTAGACACCATAACATAGCTAAGGGTAGCAATATGGCTGACAACAAGACAATGTCAGCTTCCACATAGTTCTTAATTCTTCTGTTTGCTGGATGTTCACCACAATACTCTGTGCAACACCCCAATTGTTGAAAGGGTAATACAGAAATAGCGGCATTAGACAGCACTGCATCTTCAGGACTTTCCAAGTTAGTTTATGTCCTCATAAGTAAGCATCTCAGTTTCTTCGGCCAGCATGGTTTATCTTTTTTTCCAGGAACATAACAAAATCATGTTTCAATAACATTTCTGAGAATTGGAGATACAATTCCAAATTTATTCTTGATTCAAATTAACCCTTACATGAACAGTTAGGATATAGAGCAAAATGGATATTCGCATCTACAGTCACAATGTTGAATGTACCTGTTTTATGCAATGGCTGCACAGTTATATATTTTTATGTCTTTTGCTGCCATGTGTTCAATGGAGTTTTGCCTTTGTTCTTGGAGATAATTTGATTACTTCCCAATTATCTCCAGGATAGAAGACTCTGTGGAACTGGTTTTGGGCAGAAAAGCCATGCTTCATTTGGTCACAAAGGACTACGATCTATCTTTTGAACCACTGGACCAATTTGTATGATTTTGACGTATGTTTGTATTTGGAGTATGTTGATTCTGAAAATGTATGTGAATGTGATGCATACTTTTAAAATTATGAGTAATGTGGAAAAACTGTATTTCTCTGCCTGTGATAATTACGTTACCCATTGTGTAAGGTAATTGTATCACAGGCATAGGGGAGGATTTTGTGTGGGAGTGTCTGAGTGTATTGTACATGTTTATTGGTTGTTTTCCAAAACCGGCTGTTTACAGCATTCGTATGGTTCCAGTTCGGTGGATTGGTGTCTACAGTAGCTGTGCCTGTGTCTCTGGAAGGGAGGATCTACTAAACGGTGGTTTAACCCTTTTATGCCTGGGGGTGTCGTTACAGTACACTAAAGCTAGCATAATCTACAATTTTATAACATGACAGGAGGCTTCGCATTTGCTGTTTTAACGCTCAGCCAACAAATCCAACACTGTTTGTTTCGCTGGTACCGCTTCCGTGAGATAACTAGAACAATCCTCAGTGGACCCTCCAACTGCGAGAAGTGACGGTAGACGGATCACTGCCAGCTGTCAATGTACCCCAAATTATGGGAAAAACCCCATCCGCTGTTTGATCCAGTGAACGTGGTGTTACAACGTGTTTCCTAGCAGACGTCCATGAAACCGTCAAGCTGACCTATTAGCCATTTCCCTGTAGGTGTAAAACCCAGAGGGTTATCCGTGGATTTAGGATTGCGAGAGAAACTGACACCAGGTCTCGAGCTTTGATGTGCAAGATGGCTTCTTCAATCGTGCTGGAACCACCAGGTGATGTGACTACTACCAATTCTGTAACCGAACCGAATAGTCTTAGTTCCCTCATGACCTACCTGGTGAGTGGTCTTGTCCGAGAATGAACCTATTATGCTGGTAAGAGTGTTTCCAGTACTCCAAATGGACTGCGTAACCCACAACTGTGGTAGGACAAGGTACTCCTAAGGGACGTCTAATCCGAGTTCCAACACTGAACTAACGTAGCAAAACGTTGATCAACTACTATGGGGAACTGAGGGTCCTGGATATAACCAAAAGAGGGAAACGAAAGTAGAGGATGAACTTTCCATCCAAATATATCCTTGTCGGGGAGTGATAAATGGTCTGAACCCAAGGGTAATAGAACCCTGCATAGACGAAGGAGAGTCCTCCGTGCTGTATTCGTGTGATGGACTGTAAAGGCTTTGAAATCAGATTGAAGTGTAGGCCGGCTGACGAAAAAAATAAACTGTACTGGTGAGCGAGTCTGGGGCCGGACTTCCGTCTGTGAGACTGGCTATTGATAAGGGAGAGAGTGAATAATCTGATTAATTGTTTCTACGATCCTGTTCTACTCCTGATCTGTCAAAGTTCGTGGAAGGACTCAAGATCCGCTCGCCACCTTCAAGATATCATAGTGAGACCTTAGGTCCCTGTATCCCTGACTGTCCGGGTACGTATCTCCACGAGTAGGGCTTAGGTCAAGGGCCCCAGGAATGTGAATTCGAGGTCCGAGCTATAGGAATAACTCCCTTCTTAGCCTGGAGTCCCGAAGACTCATAGCGTTCTCAAATACGCAGGTAAGATGTAAAGTCCCGTCATTATCGACAGGTGACTCCAGAGAACAGATATAGCGAACACACAAAGTCCTAGCCTCAACTGACCGAAGCAGGGGTCGTCCAGTTAGGGAACGTCGGTAGTCATATCCGAGTTTGCTACAGATCCTGAGCACACTCCATCTGTAGGTTACGTCCCGACTTTGTGATGTCTGTGTAGGAGTCGGGGTACAAAGGGTTTCCCCCCATAGTACCCAAGTAGGTCTCCTTGACGGTAGATGAGTAGGTGGTTTAGCGGAAACCCACAACCAAGACAGTTCCCACAAGGGAAAAGATATAGAAGGAGGGTCCTCCACAACCAAATTATGTTCTCAGAGGAGCAGAGGTAGACCTGTTATCTATCCCAAGATTATGAACGACCAGTGAACCCAGAGTCGACCGAAGATTCCATTCTTTCCATGTGATCTATGCATACGGTGTGCCTGCAGCCCGGGTAGCGGGCCTTCCCCAGTCTTGTCGTCCGAGTAAGGTTGTCGCCCGAGTAAGGTTCGCTCTATGAAGGCCTCAGAATCTCATCTCACCTTAAAGAAAGTACAGACAAGTCTGGTGGGATCCATGCCTGGTTCATTTTAATAAACGTGAGCTTGTCCAGGTTGGCTGTGACAGTCGGCTGCGCTTGTCTGTGATAACGCCCCCTGCTGTGCTAAACACACGTTCAGACAATACAGTGGCTGCAGGGCAGGCCAGCACATCCGAGGCATAAAGGGCAAGCTCAGGCCATGTGCCCAATTTGGAGAACCAGAAGTTGAATGGGGCAGACCCATCAGTCAGTACGTGTAGGCATGTGCACACGTACTGTTCCACCATGTTGCTGTAATGCTACCTCCTGCTAAGACGTTCCATATCAGCTGGTGGTGCTGGTTGTTGTGGCGTGCTGACAAAGCTCCACATTTAAGCCATGCTAACCCTGCCTTGTGAGGTGCTGGCGGTGCCCCAGCTATGTTGGTGTCCTCTTCCTCCTCCTCTGCCTTCGCCTTGTGCTTCCACTGAGCCCCCGGTGTCAGTTGGGAATGCCCTCAGCAGCGCGTCTACCAGCGTGCGCTTGTAGTCGCGCATCTTCCGATCATGCTCCAGTGAGGGAATTTAAGGATGGCACATTGTCCTTGTAACGGGGATCCAGCAGGGTGGCCACCCAGTAATCAGCACAAGTTAGAATGTGGGCAACTTGGCAGTCGTTGCGCAGGCACTTTGGTGACTCTAGATAACCTCGGGCCAATCGCACGTCCCCGTGACGGCGACGATGCATTCGGATGTCTGCCCTATCAACTTTCGATGTTACTTTCTGCACCTTCCATGGTGACCACGGGTAACGGGGAATCAGGGTTCGATTCCGGAGAAGGAGCCTGAGAAACAGCTACCATATCCAAGGAAGGCAACAGGCGCACAAATTACCCACTCCCGACGCGGGGAGGTAGTGACGATAAATAACAATACAGGCCCTGTAATTGGAATGAGTACACTTTAAATCCTTTAAAGAGGATCTATTGGGGGGTATGTCTGGTGCAGAGCGACTGACCCGTGCACACTGCAGCTGAAACTCCACTATCGCCTGCTGCTGTCACAGTCTCTCCAGCATGTGCAAGGTGGAATTCGACCTTGTGGGCATGTCGCATATGAGGCGGTGAGCAGGAAGGGTGAAGTTACGCTGCAGCGCAGACAGGCGAACAGCAGCAGGGTGAGAACGTTGAAAGAGCGCTCAGCCGCTACAGTAAACTGCGAATGGCTCATTAAATCAGTTATGGTTCCTTTGATCACTCCATCTGTTACTAGGATAACTGTGGTAATTCTAGAGCTAATGCATGCCGACGAGCGCTAGGGGACGGTCGCTCCGCTTTTGCACCCTGCTCCCTCTTATGCTGTACTGGTGCCTCTGTGTGACCAGCGCCTCTTCCTCCAAACTGCACACGTCACTCGCATGACCTTCATTCCATGTGGGGTCTAGGACATCATCATCCTCCACATCATCTTCCACCCACTCCTCAACCCTGCCCTCCTTGCCAGTCTGCACACTGCAGAAAGCAACAGCAGTTGGCACCTGTGTTTTTCCAGCATTTAAAGTCTGCAAAGGACACATGGACATTGTTTTAGAATTGTATCCAGGCAACAGTTTTCCCTATAAACTGACCTCTCAGTTTGACTTGTGAGGGTATTGCCCCAGAATTACAATATTGTTGAAGTACCTCTTAGCTATTGATCACTGGTTTAAATATAGCAGCTTGTTATCTGGTAGTTTCTAGTGTAGAAAATATCAATCTGTTTTCTATCATTTAGATCTGTTTAACAAGTGTTGTAGGTGTGAAACAATATTACAAGTGACGGATGTAGTAAATTCGAATCAAAGTTCCATTTGCAAAAAAGAATTCTCGCCCATCTTCTGTGGGTTATTGCATTTTTAAGATGTAGACTTATTGTATCACACTAGCCATGCACAGGTAGATTGTTGGGCACGTTGTTTTGGTGTTTGGTTTTTAACTTTGTAGTTGTGTCTTTACACAATATAGAAATGTATATTAATGCTTCTGTATATGAAGCGATCACAATAACACTTATTCTTCACTTTTTTAAAAAAAGAAATCAGGCTAAACAAAAATTGGTAATTAACAATATGACATCTGAAAAGCATGTGAAAGGATGCTGTATGATAAAAAAAAAAAAAACACACTACATGAAGGTCTTGTTCACTAGAGTGTGTAGTCATGAATGTAACCAGTAAAACTTTACAGCCACTGGTTGGCCCATACATATTTTAAAACTTGTTTAATTTTGATATCGCATGACTTGTAGTCTTGTTTTTAACTTGTCTATAATACATATTTTTGTATGACACTCAGTGTGTTTTTTCATTGATTATTGAATTTTAATGGTCTAAGATAATTAACATGTCAACAGGCAAACGTAACCCGAATGATTTGTCTCAGTCTTGCCTTCTATACTACCTGCACCATAGGCAACATTTATTTGTCTTTAGACTTTCTTGAGAAGCGGTAACTAGCCAGTTACATCGCATACACCAGATATACACATACACCAGATATGAAGTGCACACCCCAAATGTACTATTTAGCACCTAAAAAATTTGAATGTTTAAAACTGCGATGTAACCACAGTATTTGACGGTTCTATTTGACTCTCAGATATGAAGTGCACACACCAAATGTACTATTTAGCACCCAAAAAATTTGAATTTTTTCAAAACTGCGATGTAACCACAGTATTTGACGGTTCTGTTTGACTCTCAGATTTGAAGTGCACGCCCCACATGTACTATTTAGCACCAAAAATATTTGAATTTTTTAAACTGCGCTGTAACTACAGTATTTGACGGTTCTATTTGACTCTTAGATATGATGTGCACCGTAGGCCGCAAATGTACTATTTAGCACCAAACAAAATTGAATTTTGAAAACTGCTATGTCACAGCAGTATTTGACGGTTCTATTTGACTCTCAGATATGAAGTGCACACCCCAAATGTACTATTTAACACCCAAAAATTTTTAATTTTTAAAACTGCGCTATAACCACAGTATTTGACGGTTCTATTTGACTCTCAGATATGAAGTGCACTGCAGGATGCAAATGTACTATTTAGCACCCAAAATATTTGAATTTTTAAAACTGCGATTTAGCAACAGTATGTGACGGTTCTATTTGACTCTCAGATATGAAGTGCAGGCTTCAAATGTACTATTTAGCACCCAAACAATTTGAATTTTTAAAACTGCACTGTAACCACAGTATTTGACGGTTCTATTTGACTCTCAGATATGAAGTACACCGCAGGCCGCAGATGTACTATTTAGCACAAAATTTTTGATTTTTTAAACCAACAATGTAACAGTAGTATTTAAGATTTTTATTGGACTGCAAGAAATGCACCGCAGGCCGCAAATGATCTATTTAGCACTAAAAAGTGTGATTTTTTTTTAAACCAACAATGTAACAGTAGTATTTAAGGGTTTTATTGGACTGCAAGAAATGCAGTATGCAAATGTACTATTTGGCACCAAAGAAATTGCAGTATTTAAAAATGCCTAGATGTTGCCCACTGAGCTACCAGAACAAGATTAAAGTAATGTGCCTGGCACACATGCAGTTGCAAGTGCACTGCACTCTCTGTGGCACTGGGATCAGGGCAGGGTACTAAAATGTAGTATAGCACCCATAAAACTAATCGCTGTAGTTTGCAGATTCAACACCAGAATTATTTCGTAATCTGTCCATCACAGCTGCAGCATCCTCTCCCTACACTAATAACAGCTCATGTGACGTGCGGCGCCACGTGACTCCAGCTTATATATAGAGGCTGGGTCACATGCTGCAGTGGCCAATCACAGCCATGCCATTAGTAGGCATGGCTGTGATGGCTTTTAAGGGAACACAAGTCAAACGCTTGTTGATTGGCTGCCCTGCAGCCTTTCAAAACCCGCCATTAAATCACCGAACTCCGAACTCCAACCCGAACATACACTGAAATATCCATGTTCGGGTCGGGGTCCAAAAACCATAATGTTCGTTACGAACCTGAACTTTACGGTTCGGATTTGCTCAACTCTATCCATAATGCGTTTCACCATATAGGCTTTTTCAAATGGAATAAAAACAAACAATCTGAACAGAACAGAAAATATTTACAAAAATATATTGTATTGTATTCCTTTAATATTTTTATTCATTCTGAAATATTGGGAGAGAGGCTCCGGAGTAAGAATATATAACATGGGAGAGAGGGGACAGCCCTACCTTGTCCCATTTCGAACCTTAAACCAGGGAGAAATAATACCTATTATCCTGGCTGAGGGATTAGTATATAGAGCTAGAATTGCCTGTAGTATCTGTAACAGATCCCCTCTGTGCTCGTTCGCGGGATCTGTATTTTATGTGAACTGTTCTTTCATTTGAAACTGCTGTATAACCGATTGCCCTAGACTACAATACAAACTATTCAAAAATCCCGGGTTAACTACCAAACACCGAACCACCTTGATGACTAATTGTGCTTCAATCTACCTCCCTGTTCAGCTAATGTATTCATATTGAAACACTTTGTTCAAGTCCCTGGGTGGCCGCCATTTCGGGAGTTTTACACGTGGCGGCGGCCATCTTAAACTCCCGAACAGAGGTGTTTTGCCATCGAGTGTCTGGAACTAAAATCAGACACTCGACTAGACAAACACCGCTAAGACCTCCGGACGTCCATAAATTCATGCCGAAACTACTGAACGTTCCACCGTTCGGTAGAAAGACTTAGTTATCATGGAGATTCATACGAACGCCAGGATACCCACGGATGGCATGCCTTTCAGGACTTTTTATTACACAAACAGAGACCGACCGCAAGGCCAAAACTTATGGAACTGTTTTCGGCTACTGTGCCTGTGCGGTCGGTCAAAACTTTAAACCCCCATAACTCCCAAACCCCTGGCCTGATCTGGGTGATTTTTAAATATGTTGCTCACCCAGATTAGGGCTATCAGGGGATACCGGATTTATGAATGTTCCCCAGATATTTGGGGTACATCCAAAACTCAGGGAAAAAATGTGTACTTGTTAATTGTGTTAAATGCTTATCTAAGGGGAGGAGATGTGTGGGTTGTACCTTATGTTTTATTGGTTACTGTAATAATTGTGTGGGTGTCTCCCTTGCATGGGAGCATCACATAAAAGTAGAATACCTTCTGTGGCAAACCCTGCCACTTGGACTACCTATGTGAATAGATACAATTCACCAAGGTAATAACCACACGAATGGACTTTAATAATATTGTAATGTGTTTGTTCGAATGTATGAAACTACCAAACGGTGGTCGTGTGTTTCCAATTAACTGAGTGATGCATTGTTGCGAAGGGAATTAAGTACCTGTATGTGTGGCCGCCATTCGACATACGAACACGTGGCGGCGGCCATCTGACGCCAGCCTGCCTTTTGCAACAACACTTTTGCCCAACACTGCTCCACTTCTCTGAGCCCATTTTTTGCCAATTATGGTTACCATCCAACCTTTCTAGTGAGTCTCCCAATTACTACTCCCATTCCTGCAGTCACTGACCGGCTAACCGCCTTACGAGATTCCCAAGAACTGTTGAAGGAGACTCTTTCGGAGGCTCAGGAATGTTACAAAAGAGCTGCTGATAGGCACAGAAAGGAGACCCCAGTTTATCATGTTGGTAACAAGGTTTGGCTGTCAACAAAGAATCTTAAGCTTAGGATTCCTTCTCATAAATTGGGACCTTTTGAGATCATCGCTCAGATAAATGCAGTCACCTTCCGTCTGCAACTTCCGGATTCCATGAAAATACATCCGGTGTTTCACGTGGCACTGCTTAAACCTTTTCATGAAAATACTTTCCCTGGTCGAGCCCTGCCTGCCCCACCACCAGTCCTCGTGGATGGTGAAGATGAATACGAGGTGGAAAAGA